CGTTGACCGTTATCGTTTACTACTTTAAATGAAATAATAAAAGCAAACAATGGTAAATTTCAATCAAACTTACGTCCAGTCTGCTTTTCTATATGGTAAAAATTCTAAAATTGCTGGAAATTTAGACTCATCACCATGTTGAGCTGATTGTAAGTCAGACTTATGTCGTTCTATAAACAAAATAATGTGTTCACAACTAAATTTTTAAACCGTTCTGAAATCATTTTTTTACCATTCGGCACCCATAAAGTTGCTGCTAGTTTTACATTGTCTAATAATGGAATCGATACTTGAGAAAATTTTTGTACGTCATACGGAAACTCAGTTCGTATTGAAGGATTACCAGACATCATGCGTTAGAGCGAAGGATAATAATACTTTTCCCCAGTCAATGTTACTTTTTTTCCAAAAAAATGGTCATTCTTTTTCTTTGAAGAAAAGTAAACTAAAAAAATTAATCTTTTAATAAGACTTCAAGATTTGCATCACTTTCTTTTCATTTTTAATTGTCGTTTATGTTATTTTGTACAGACCTTCGCTATATCGGGTAGCTTCTTTTTGGCGATACGATATGAGAATGAACTCAAGAAGCAAAATATTAGCCTTCATGCAAACAAGACGTATATATCATTTTTAAAATTTGCTTAATAATAATTTAAAAATTAATTAAATTTCTAATTACGAAACTGAGAGTAATTTTTTTTACAAAAATCGATGAAAAGTCACATTGTCTATAACTAACCGTTCTCTTTTCTGTGAAGAAAAATGTGACAAATGTGAAGCAAATGCCAATAGAAATATCTCTCAGATATATGTATATCTCTATTCGAATGCTAGAGGCCTAATCTGTATGACGAATAAAAAAACATTGCACTTGTTTTCTTATCTTCTCTTCTCGCTCACATATGCCCATTTTTTGTGCATTCTCGTATTCGGTCGTTTTTTTCGATAAACGAACAACGTTCGCTTTTTTATCTGACATGGTTGTCTTTCTTCCTTGAATCATTCTTTTTGAATCATCAATCAATTCTTTTCGAATCATTTTTGTCAGCTGAGGCTGAAAATTCGGAAAAAAAAACATTTATACTGTGGTATTTCAAACTTGAACATTCTTCTTTTGTTTTCAAGTGCCTTTATTTGGTACATTGATTTTTACGGGTAACATGTGTTGTGGAAATAGAAATGCATTTCACATATATATATAACGTGAATAAGAAAAGAAAATAGAAAAGAAAAAAACATCGCTATTTGTTATGTCGCAGCTCTAATAGCTCAATATTATACATAGATGTCTTTAAAAGTCTTTTAAATCTCATAACATTCTTGCCGAGAGACAATCGAGTCTTTACATGTGCCTGTATTGACATCAGCGTCCAGCCCCTATATATATATGAAAAGAAGAGAAGACGAAAAATGGATTATATATGCATTCTTTTAAGAATTACAAGACAAGATTCTTGCAGGAAAAAACGAGACAAGAATCTTGGAGAAAATTGCTTTCTTGCGAATTCAGACAAGAATCCGTCTCGCGATTCTTGTATGAACTCACAAGAAAGCTATTTCCTGCAAGGTTCTTGTGATAAAAATACATGTAAAATATTTTACAAGATACTTGTTTGAAATCCCAAAAAACAAAAATCTTGCAAGAATACCCGCAAGAACATCGACCAGTGATGTCGAAATTGTCCTTCAGCGCACGGAATATACACAGAAGGAAAAGAAAAAAGACCGCGTGCGTCCTTTATGTATCATCTTTTTCTGTTCTGGCGCAGCTGATACGAGAAACATTTTAAATGTCTCTTTTTTGACCGAAGTTTTAAAATTTACATTTGTTGCTACAGGCCTACTGAGACAATGGTGAAAGACTTTTTGGAAAAAGTTCAAAAATAAGGTGAGAATAATGAATGGAAAGAAGTTTTATTTTCACTTCTATTTGGAATGATGATCGAAGACATCAAGAAATATAGAAAATATATTCTTTTCATTTTCACGCATAGGCAGATATATCTCGCATGCAGAGTTATGTATGTCACATAAGAAAAAGCATAAATGGTAGGGCTCTAATATGTAAGAATAAACGGTGAATGAAAAAAACTGATCTTTTCATGTTTCTATGTTCTTTACACAGTGAAACAGAACGAGAAAAAACTATATGTCGTGCAAAGATGTGACGTCAAATGTGAGGCGATGTATACTTTCTATTTTGTGCTAGAAGAGATATCTCCTTATTTGCTATAGTCCTAATAGAGTTCTATCGTAGAGCGTAAATTCGTCTTTTTCTTGATATGGCATGCAGAATCTGTATGTGAGACATATGTGCATCTTGTCGTATGTGAGATAAAGAATTTACGGTCTACGATAGAACTCTATATTATTTTTCATTTTTATCTCGTCCAGTCAGTTCACGTAACACTTTTAACAAAGCCACTACTTTATGTACAGCTATTATCTCATTCTATTTGCAGCAAAAAGCCCACGTACAAAGTAATTCCGACAAAACGAAAGTTAAAAAGGGTTCTTTTGACGCAATTTAATCGATGTAAAAACACGAGGAAGATAAAGCTCTTCAACAGAAATTTCTGTGTGGTGACGAGCACGATATTGGAGGGGAGGGAGAAAAAGAAGCAAAATAAAGCTTTTAGACAATGTGACTTTTGATTGACCGTTGTAAAAAAATTTACTTTGTTTCTATAACTTGAATTCTGTTTCCGTTAACTGACATTAATTCCACTCTTACCTGATCAAATTTCAGATTTCACTAGGGCAAGTCGTCACTCTTCCTTCGCCTCGTTCTCTTTCCTTCTTATCGCTGAAAATGTATGTTATAGCATATATATGAAAAGATATGGCATGTAATCTAAACAACTCTAAAAACAGAAAATTTGATTTCTTCGCCTTGGCATAGGAAATGAAATGGGGCTTTCTGGGTTCGTCCTTCAGCCATGAGCAGCATTTTCGGTCAACTCAAATATCATCTGGCGTCTTTTCATATCTAGAGATTGTATGAATAGCCTGATGATCTTCTGTCGTAATCGTCCACTGCGTGATCATTGAGCTGCTTCTCGAGTTCTTTGTCGTGAGATCAGCAATAATTCCACTCAAGTCAAACGTCATCTGGCGTCCTTTCATATGTAGACACGATATGAATAGTGTCATTTTGTCTTAATCGTTTGCTGCGTGATCATTGAGTCGCTTCTTGCCGAGGTCTTCCTCATGACATCACCAATATTTCGACTCAAGTCAATGTCATATGGCGTCCTATCACATGTAGACAGTACATCAACAACAGCATGATTTCAAGGAATCATTAGATCCGTGATCATTGAGTGGGTTTTTCCCGAGTTCTTCCTCGTGACACCTGCAATATTTTCGATGAAGTCAAATGTCATTTGGTGTTCTTTCGCATCTAGACAATTCTAGAGAATGTATGTATAGTGTCATCCTGCGTCGTAATCATTAGTTGCATGATCATTGAGACGCTTCTTCTGAATTTCTTCCTGGTGACATCAGCAATATTTCCAGTGAAGGCAAATGTCATCTGGCGTCGTTTCGCATGTAAAGAATGTGTTTCTAACGGGGAGGGGGGAGGAGCTTAAAGTAGTAAACGATAACGGTCAACA